ACTTCATTTTTGAAATGATTTAAATTGTAAAAAAAACATTTTTTATACGGAGTATTGAATCCGATCTTGAACAAAAATATTTATGGATCAACTGCTTTTCCCGTGCGTATGCACGAGTACTGTGCTAGTTTATTATATACTATATCCGTCCCTTTAAGATTGAGACAAAGGAGAGTGGAGCAATTTTTAAAAAAGTATGATTATGTGGTTGATAATTAATTGATAAAGTGAAAATAAAATAAGAATGAATTAGAATCACACAAATCTTATCAAATATGGTATGAGGCAATTTTAGTGGGACGGACAAAAATAAAAAAATGAGACAATTATAGTTGAACGGAGGAAGTACAAAATACGGAGTTTTTTTCATCATAAAAAACAACAACTCCATTAATCAAGTAAATCGTTTGCCAGTTGGCTTACAATAGAGAGAAACACATCATTTAGATAGTAGGTAATCCGACAAAACAACTACTGACAATCGCCGTCCCTCGAACCAGAATCAGAATTTATCGTCTCAACAATATAACTCGCTGGTCCATTAATGGGCACAAATGAGCCAAAGACGGTTACCACAGTCATTCCATCACCCACATCCAAACCCAAAACCAAAGTCTTACAATCGAAAGAGATAAAACAACAAACAAACACATACAAAATCAGACCATTAAAATAAATAAAAGAAAAAAAATAAATTTCTTCACTCAGCCTTCCAAGAACCACCGGCGGCGGTTCAGGAGGGGGTCAGATCACCATCCCTTAATCTACTTCCTTCATCGACTTGATCTGCCATTGAGTCGCCTCCATCTCTTGGCCAAAGAACGTTGTCTCTTCCTCATCTTCAAAGTTCAAACTGCCCTCGTGACTCCCTCCATCATGGCGGCTGTTTCGGAGGAGCACAGGCCGAAGCTTCAATCTTCTCAGAACAGTCTCTCCTGATCCATGCCATTAGCCTTTCTATTGGGAAGCTCTCCTTCACTCGATACTTCGTCTCCTCGATTCGCTCGTCAAAGACACCAAGAACTGCCGGTCCGAACCAAACGCCCTTCACCAGCCTCCTTCGTCTCCCCTCCTTCCGATTCCTCTACGCTGAAAATAAAGAGATGGCCGGAAAAACCAGCCTCGCTCCTCGACTTAAGCCGATAGCGGATAATCGAAGCTAGCGGTTGGCCTTGCGGCAACCCTAGAGAGAAGATGTCCGAAAGAAGATACGAGAGAGGGAGACCCTAAATACGGAGTATATAATAAGCTAATAATATACTACGTATATCATACCTTCTTTCATTAATAAATTAACTAAAATGTAACCATATCTTATTGGGGTCCTTAAAGTGAACTTAAAAAATATGTATCATAGAGAGAAAAACATTATCTCTATTAATTGTTAAAGATATAACGCAATCATGTTCAAGTCCAATCAATTTAGCAAAATCAAAATAACACAAGTCAAATTTTAGAGTCCTAAAAATAAAATAAAAGACTCAATGCACCAACATTGCCAAACAAATTCAAGTTCAATATAGTTAAAACAAATCCCCGGCTATAAACTCAAAACTCCAGTGGACTCCACTCATAATAAAATATGGGGTTAAATGTACAAAAGAGTTAATAAAATGAAGTTATTTTTGTGATGCGAAGCTGAAATCTTGAATTAATTGTTAGAATAATAAACACTTATTCTATTATAAAGATGACTTAAGATGAATCTCAACTTTCACGTATCTTTGTAAGAAAGATTTGGAGTCTCCTTCAATTCCCTCTCATTGTAATTTAAGATAAATTTTGATTTGGTGCATATTTAAAGATTAGGATAAAGTGACTGTGTTACATTTTAAGCATGCAAAAAAGTAAGAAAATGTAGTATATATGCATCCAAAAAAGAAATAAAAGATGAAATGATATATAAATTAAAGAACAAAGTGAGAAATAAAAAGCCAATGGTTATTTATGAAAGTTTAATATTTTTTAGATAAACATAAAGTGAAGTGTCTTATGAAACAGGACAAAGAGAGAAATATAACCCGGCAGGAAACAAATATGGACAATGGTTTAAAATTACGGATCGAAACATGTGTTGTGGCTGCAATATTGTGATTGCGTACACAACGCCACCTCATCGGTCCACTATTCATGGAAAAAATCCGCAATGGACGCATCAGAACCACAAACTAATTTTTTTTTTATTTCGTTCAAACGTTACATTAATTCATGACGTGCACTTTGTCGTGTATGCATTCAAAATAATAATCAATACAACACTAATACGTAGTATAGTGTAGTAAGGTTCTTATCCACAGGGAAAGAAATAATTTTCTTTTTATAAAACTAGTAACAAAAAGGGGGGATTTAGTTTGACTTGGTTTAATTATTTAAACACGAAGATGAACGACTTATGTGGTTTACTTAATATAGATGAAGACTTGACTTTGCTTTTATCCACTTAATGAAATGTTCGTCGATCCCGGTTATATCTTTAACTATTTTCCTCTCGAATACTCAATCGAGGAGTATATCCAGTTCATCGAGGGTAGTTATTAATAACGAGATGCGTTCATTAATAAAACTTACTACCGAGTTAATATAGAACACACGCCGTATATTAACCCGATAGTAGCAATAAAATCAAGATGAAAACAATTGAGATTGATAACCTCAACACAAGCGGTTTATTGGTTTAATCAACGTAATTAATTCCCCTTGGTTTATTAACCATGAAACGCATGCATTAATAACCCAAGTTACTACCGTGAAACGATCGAACGATTAACAAGCGTATTCGTCGATAGATTCTAGTAATAATTAATATATGAAACAAAACTAGTTGATCCTTTAAGTAATGTTCAAAATATTAATATGAAATATGAATAGGAATTAATTAATACTCAAGGAAGAATATTAAAGAAGAGGAATCCTACTATAGTTAATATCAAGATGTTAACTAATTGTCATCTTAGTAATACTCTCCATATTAACATAGAGGAAGAAATAACTATTACTATAACTAATGTCAAGATGTTAACTAATTGTCATCTTAGTAACACTCCCCTACATTGATATAGAAATAGTATTTAAAGGAAGAATTAATATTCAAGGAAGAAAATTAAAGAGAATAACTCACAACTTACCAATTCATGAAGCTTCAAAGTAGCAAAACCAAGATGGAAGAGTTTAGCTCCTCATTTGGAGACTAAACATAATAGAAAATATAAAGAAAACACTAATCTAAACTAAGTTAAAGAGTATATGTGAATTGGTTCTCCTAATGTGAAGGAAATGAGGTGTATTTATAGCAAAATGGAGGTGGCAGGGTTATGTACTCGATTCAGTATATGGGATACTGGACCGAGTATGAGAGAAAATTTCCAGGAAATTGTGAAAAATAGGCATACTTGACCGAGTATTGGCAATACTCGACCGAGTATTGAACAAATTTCAAAATCTTCATTTGATCTTCTCCTTTTTGCACATTCTTTGGTCTTTAGGATCCATCCTTTGATTTTTGGGATGATTTTGACCTGTCCTAAGCTCAATATAATCCTAATCTAAATAAATTACAAATAATTAATGAAAATAAAGTATTACACCAAAAGTGTGTAATTTCCACATCTAGAACTAATAAAACTAGTTAAAAATACAAACATACATAATAGGAAATTCACTCTATCAATTCACTCTGCATCAATCGCAAAATGCATTAGAACGGCTGCAATGGCGCAACCACAATGACTGCAACCGTAATTCAAATTCTTGAAATGGACTAAAGTGTAAATATATAAAATATGATGATGCATAATCTAATAATCAAATAACAAATACCCGGAATACAAATTTATAATTGATTTGGAGTACTGCATAATAAAAATTAATCATATTTTGTATCTTATGAATAATCCATGATATCTATTAGTGTTTTTCATCTTAGCTCATATCAAATTGATTCTCTATCGGGCATTGCCCTAAGCTTTACACTAGTAACTAGTTATAGAGTGATATTTAAGAGGAACATCAAGGATACGCTTGAAAGCATAGGAGAAATATAAAATTACATCTTCGGTGGCTCTTTTAAGATGTTGTGGCTTTTAAAACTAATTTGTTTAATTTGTTGAAAATGATACTTCATTTCACTGTTCGGTGTGAGTTAGTCAAACAAAAGGGTCATATTTGAACGAGTTTAGTGTATACTTCGTATTAAAATTCATTATTTGTAAGTAATATCACACATTATAAAAGACTTCATTTTTCATCCAGTGGTTTATAAAATATTGCATGTGAGATTTCAATTTTTGTTTGATAACAAAATTTAATAATATTTGTATAATTGATGTGCTAATATTATTACATGGATCATTCTTGTGTACACACTCCTAATTGCTTGTGTACAAATGCAACTTCTGAATGAATTGGCTGTGTACATAGTCAACTTGGGGGTGCGTACATAAGATGTGTACAAATTGGGCATGTTTGACATTTAGCGGTTAGATGTTAGCAGATAGCAGATTATGTTAGTGAGTTGTCAATAACGCATTTAGCGGTTAGAGGTTAGCGGATAGCTGTGCAATTTAGTTGTTTGACCTTAAAAATAATAGAAAACACCATATTTCGAAACGTAAATTCAAAACTCTCCTATTTGCAGTGTTTCTATTTCATTGTTTCCGTCTAAAAATGCAAGTACAATGAGTTTTTACAAAAATATTACTAAAGTAAAACATATTTACACAAATATGACTATTAATTACTACAATGTAGTGTCATAATAACTAAAATATAAAAACTGAACATGCGTTACTATGATTTCATTACTACTTTATCACTAGTCACATTTTTTAAAATAGTCTTCATTTTAGTCATAAATATTTAATTATTTATAGTATCAAACCACTTTTTCACTTATTGAAAGCTGATCAAATTGCCATTTTTGACTGAAAAATCATTTACCAAACACCATCATATGTAGAAACAACTTTTTCCATATTGCAAAGCTTCTAGGAAAAACATTGGGCCGGTTTACTCTTTACCCACGTGTTTTCTACATTTGAGTAAATTCTCTACAATTACTCTTTACTATACTTGTAAACGACCTCTTGACGTCCACAGTTCACAAGCTTTCCGTTGAAGTGCGGCCAGGCTATTCGAAAATTCACCAGATAATCAGGTATTTAAACTTCTTCGCTGCATCATTTCCGATCTTTATCAAATTTTCCTAAGAAATAATACGCCTTTGTTTCTATTGCGCACCGAAGAAACGAAATCATTAGATGTTTTTATGAAATGACAAATTCTTAGATTCTTAATCTCATTATCATAATACCCACACCTAATCTATTAGCCCCAAAGTTTCTGAAAATGTGTTTGAAATGCCACTGTGCTTGTCAATTTTTTCCAGTTTTTCAGATGTGTTTGCTTATCCAGTATTTTTTCTTTGCTTTTGTATACTCCGTATTTTATTTGGCCACATAATTTTTGATCTTTAAACCTGTAATTGGGGTCAGTTTTTTTAGCATTTGAAATAGTTTCCAGTACATCGAAAAATGCCCGCAGATTATATCGTGCAACAGGCTCACCATGAGGATGGTGCGCCCGGTTGCAAAACGACGCAGTATCCGGCCTCCCCCTTCCCAACAACACTCTCCCTCCTCCAGCCACCATCTCATCGTAGATTCATCGTGCCCAAGCAAGTTTGATTTGGAGCCGGAAGAAAGCAAACAGAACTTCATTCGATTGCCGTCCCCCACCAAACCATCCGCAAAGAGAACTCCATCTCTCGGATGGAAGCTTCATCCATGGCGGAGTGGGGCAGAGCTTGCCCACCACCGATTTGAGAACGATTTGGCCGGAGCTTCGTATCAAGTGCTCCACAGAATTAGAGATATTTTTAAAAATTGAATCTGTTGTTCTTAGTCCATAGATGTTTCTTCAAGCTTTTGTTTATGCTGCCATGGAGTTCGAAGTCTACTGATGAGTGAAGGGCTTCTCATTTTTATTCATCTCCAGCAAGTTACATTTTTTTAAAAACGATTTACATTTCAATACGCCTTAGGTTACATTTCCTTTAACACAACTTACCTTAGAAGTTGCACCAAATTACATTTCAATTAATGAGTTTTACATTTTGATTTACCTTAGCAAGTTACATTTCAATTAACACGTTTTACATCTCAACTTGCTTGGAGTTACATTTTAATATACACAATTTACATTTCACATATGGTAAGCGAGAAAATAAACATTGCAGGGAGTAAATTTACATTCCAGTGCATTAATTACATTTACCAATAACTAGGATTACATTTCCAAGAATGTGAGTTACATTTCATTACACACGAGTTACATCATTCTGCTCCTAGACAGTGAAAAAACAAAAACAAAGGTTACTGTTCACGCGTGTGAACAGTAACACGCGATTTTTTTTGGGCATGCTTAAAACGGCTTCGTTTTGGTCAGAGGAGCATGGTGCTCAACGTGGGCAGGTTGCACCGTATACGCACTGAAAAATGCCCATTTTTATTTTTAATATTTACGGAGTACCTATTACATTCAGAAATCAGAATCTATTTCATATACGCTTTTAATTATTCCGATCCTTGAAAGATTATGTCAAAAGTAGTTTACTAACAAGTAGCGAAGAAATAAAATTAGATAACTATGAATGCCAGTATGTCACTATCCTTTATTATGTCCCTCACAATTTCTTTATGGCATTGTCATTAATTTTTCTGGCTGCTTTTCTCAGTGAGTAATAACAGAAAAACAGGGGGGAAATCCAGCAATGCTTTTCCTGTGACATTCGTTGTGTTTAGGAAGATGTCAAGTAAAAGAGATCCAGTGTTTCTAAAACTTTTTAATTCTAAGTAATTTAAGTAAGATATCATTCATAAAATGAAGTATTGTGTATATGCAGTTCTGTTCCAAAGATAAGTAGGATCAGAGAAAAGGCAAGTTAATGTATCACTGTTGCTCTTTTATTTTCGAGTAAGTTTCAATATTGGAAAATCTTTCTAATTTTAAAATGTGTTGACTGTAGCTATAAGTCGATACATAATTCCTCTTTTCTAATATACAATGTGCACAATACAACTTTATTACTTTAATTTGAAGTGATAAACATCTTTTAGCCATACCACTGTGGCTCAGTAAATTAAGTATATCTATTCACAATAGTAATTGTGGCAATAGTAGTTATGGTTTAATGTGCATTTGTTTATAAAGACTGATAAGTCATGGATCTTTCCGGCCGGGGCATTATGAAATACCTTCTTAAAAGTTTAAACCAATTTGAGTGCTTTTGTCAAGTTATTATTGCAGACTATATTTGCTATGTCATCATCAATCATCCTGATCTGACTAATTCTAGAAAATGAGGACTAGTGCTATCACTGTTATATTGTTATGAGTAGATAATGATAGATATGTCTCAATAATGATGATTAGTCATCCTGAAATAGCTTTAGTTTTCGACAATGACTTTCAGGCTGATGAAACAATGAAAGAATAGAGTACACGTTGCCATAGTTGACATGCCTTCGATGAAAAAGTTGGAAAAGATTGGACCATGTACTGTTGAACCTCCTTTAGACATTGCAATCGAGGGTGGAGGTAAAAGTAAGGAAAATAATGATTTGGCAGAAAAAAGGAGAGACCTGAAGAGGAAGAAACCAAAGGGAAAAGACGTGGATTTTCTTACTAAAGAGTGGACTAAGGAGCAAGAGCTGGCATTACAAAGAGCTTATTATTCTGCAAAAGCAACTCCTCATTTCTGGAAGAAAGTCTCAAAGATGGTAATATTCCCACACTCTTCGTTGTGTTGAAAATATCTTTTTGTATGACATGTATGACAATTTGCCTACCATGAAATATATGGCCTTATTGGAGGTGGATGGAAATTGAATGTGGTGATTATGCCTATTGTGAATGTCTACAGGCTATGTTTGAAGTAGATATGTAAGTACTGTGAATAACCCCTTTCTCTAGACTTCGTGAACTTATTCCAATTCTATTGAAGAAGATTACTCCAGACTATGCTTCAAGTAGACAGTGTCAGTAAAAGTTTGCACTAGCTCTATGCCCCCCCACCACTAACACCACACACGCACAAAAAACAGTACATATTACAAATATGACTTTTTAAGTCGTAGTAGTCACTTGGGTGGTCCATTTAAAGTTAGATGATGATTAGAAAGGGTATGTATGGATTCTGGAGGCGCTTGAATGGGGGAGGCTTTTAAGACTGTGGATATCTTGATACTTAAAATCCTGTCCACAACACTGCAAGAAATACTATTCGGCCGTATACAATTGAAAGCTACCAAGAGGTGAGGTTGAATACAATTTAAAGTTTTAATTGTAATTATTTCCTGCACTGTTGTGGACAGGCAATACTTCTTCTCTTGTGCTTTTTCTTGTAATATCAAACTTTCAACTACTGGTAACAAGAAATGTGGACATATATTCAACAGGTGCCTGGGAAGTCCGCGCAAGAGTGCTTTGACAGGATACATTCAGATCACATGACCCCACCCCAACCCCGCCAACGTTCAAGGGTTAAGCAGGCAATACCGTTTTTATCTCCTCTCTGCTCAAGCAAATTGCTTGATCCGATGAATCCAAAACCAAAGAAACGCATTTCAAAAAAAGCAGTGAGAGAGATGCTGCATAAGCAATGCAAGGTAGAGAGGGATACTATGGAAAAGGACCTCTTCACTTTACTTGAGGAGGGGTCAACCACAGCAAAAACTCCTGATGTTTTTCCAAGTGGCGACAGTTTTTACATACTTACCCCTGAGTTGAAGTCAGATCGCCCAAGTAACTTTTCGCAACTAAGTGACCTGGAGGCAATCACTCTCTTTAGTCCTCCAGTTCTAAAGCCGATTAAGAACAAAGCATTGCATGACAGATACATTGATCAGTTGCTTTTCAGGGAGGCTAAGAGGAAGGCTGCATTTTTAAGAAAGTCAAAGTGTTCACAAGGAAATGGTGAAGAACACCAAAAGGTGGAAGCGACAACAATTCAAGCCGCAAAGAATGCTCTTTTCTTTAATGCAAGAGATGCTATCAAGCAATTTCAGAGTTTTCAAACAAATCAGGTCCAAAATGTCTTTAGTGATGGGGAAGATGGCGATGAAGATGGTTTTGGTTACAATGATGATGACGAGTGAGTCTCGGGTGTATACTGTTTTTAATTTTAAACGATTTTGTCTTGATTCTCTGGTGTTACTATAAATTAAATTGAAATATTTCCATCTATTGTACGGTTGTACCATACGAAATTTGTCTTAAACAAATTAACATAAGGTAGATTCTATGGTACCCACAAGGTATCATACCTTTGTCCACATGGACCAATGAGAATGTTGAAGTTGAATTATTTAAATCTAAATTAAAAATGATAAAGTGATATGGTCCAATCAAATGAATAGTAGGTACGGTATCCCATTTTTTAAAAGGGTACCGGAGTTGTCACCTTAACATAATAGTATAATCACTGAAACTTGTTAGTTTTGTGTCTTATTAGGGTAATAGGACTAAAAAAGTTTGAAAATTTCAAAATAGGACTGTCATGTTTTTATTCTCAAAATAGGACTAATTATTGTCATGTTTTGCCAGTACCAGACTTCAAACATGACAGTATTTTCCAAACTATACAGTAATTACTCCTATTTTGGGAATAAAAAACATGACAGTCCTATTTTAGAATTTTCAAACTGTTTTAGTCCTATTTCGGAAACTTTCCATTTTCTCATTCACCATGTAGTTTCTTCAACTAATTAATTAGTTCACATATCACGTGTAGCAAGTTAAGATTCTAATTAGTCTGACCAACTCAGAAACAAACTCATGTATCTAATCCAGTCATTGCAATGGATCAAAATCGCTCTTAACTTGTGAGACCTCATAAACTTGGTAAAACGATTATTTCTAATGGTTCTACCTATACCTAATTCTTTCTGAAGCTCGGGTGAAGTTAAGGTTATCATGTAAAACTATTTTAACCATATTTTAATTTTGAATTTCTATCATTATGGAACAATTACATTTACTTTAGAAAGAAATCTTCCTGTCAGGCTTCCTGGCCAGAACCGTCGTCTGGTTTCCTCCAATTGAGGTGCTTACCGATGTAAATTTCTCTTACTTTAGACACCTATTAGCTCCATTCAAAAGTTGGGTTATCAAAACATATGATAGAGATTGCCCTAAATAAGAGTAAAAATGTTTTGAAGTTCCAAAATAGGATTATCATGTTTTTTATTCCTTAAATAGGAGTAATCTGCTAAGTTTGGAAAAAAATGTCATGTTTAAAGCCTAGTGATGCCAAACTTGACAGAAATTTACTCCTATTCAGAGAATAAAAAACATGATAATCCTATTTTGAAATTTCAAAACGTTTTTACTCCTATTTAGAGAATTCTCTCTTATCAAAACGCATTATTACCCATAACTAGTGGTGTATTTGTATGTTTATCCTCTAACAGTTTGTTTACACCATTAAAGTTTTGCTCCCATGCGTAAAATACATAGTTGAACATGCATGGATAACTAGTTTGGCGTAATTATTCTGTGATAATAATACGGAGTATAAAGCAATATGTGAATAGGTAAAGAATGGCTTGTCTATTCATGTGTTGATTCTGAAATATATACACCGTTGGTTTCCTAAGATGGCTCCTAAGAATAAGCTGAGCCTTAATTAAGATACACATGCCAAATATAAGCTAGGCTACGAAGGGAAATAAAATCAAGATATATAAAGTATATAAATATATCCTAATACCCCCCCTCAAGTTGGAGCATGTAGATCACAAATGCCCAACTTGACAAGTAGGAACCGAAATTGCCGAGGTCCAAGTGCTTTCGTCAGAATGTCAGCGAGCTGCATGGAGGTAGGTAGATGCTTGGGAGTAATTGTATGATTAACAATCTCATTGCGAACAAAATGACAGTCAACTTCAATGTGTTTCGTACGCTCATGAAACACAGGATTATTTGCAATATGGAGTGCTGCCTGACTATCACAATGTAGGGAAACAGGAGATAAATGTGAAACCCCCAAGCTCTTTAATAAGCTTTTTAACCAGATAATTTCACAAGTAGCCGATGCCATTGCCCGATATTCGGCCTCAGCCGAAGAGCGAGAAACTGTAGCTTGTTTCTTAGTTTTCCATGAGATGGGAGAACCACCAAGAAACACAAAATAGGCAGTAAGGGAACGTCTACTCAAAGGGCAACTAGCCCAATCAGCATCACAATAGGCTTGTAAAGAAAGATCAGAAGTCGCCTTCAACATAATACCTTGACCAGGGCTAGTTTTTAGATAGCGTACAACGCGGAGCGCCGCTTCCCACTGAGACCGAGTAGGTTTCTGCATGAACTGAGATAGAATGTGAACAGAATAACACAGCTCAGGTCGCGTAATAGTTAAATAAATCAATCGACCAACCAAGCGTCGATACTTTACAGGATCAGCCAAGAGATCATCAGAAGCGAGAGCTAAGGAATGACTTTCCTCCATCGGTGTGCTAGCAGGTTTGGCAGCAAGAAGACCGGTCTCACTCAAAATATCTAGAGCATATTTACGTTGACAGAGAAAAATACCATCTGAGTTACGAGCAACCTCAAGACCGAGGAAATATTTAAGTTTCCCTAGGTCCTTCATGCGAAAACACGTATGCATATAAGTCTTGAATTGAGTGATGGAGTCACTATCGTTTCCAGCAATGACGAGATCGTCAACGTAAACAAGAATGCTTAAAGAAACAGAGCCTTTTTGATAAACAAACAAAGAATGATCAGAAGGACTATTCTGAAAACCATAGGACCGTAAGGCTGAAGCAAGTTTAGCATACCAGCACCGAGGAGCCTGACGAAGTCCATATAATGATTTTCGTAGTCGACAGACTTTACCCGAAGAATGATCACCGAATCCAGGAGGAAGCTTCATGTATACTTCTTCAGCGAGATCACCATGAAGAAAGGCATTATGCACATCCATTTGATGTAGCTCCCAATTTTTAACAACAGCAACTGTAAGAAAGGTACGCACTGTCATCATCTTAACAGTGGGAGCAAAGGTCTCAACAAAATCAATTCCTGGCACTTGATGATTTCCAAAAACGACCAGTCTAGCCTTATATCGTTCAATGGTCCCATCGGACTTATATTTGATGCGAAAAACCCACATACAACCAATGGCTGTTTTACCAGGAGGCAAATCCTCAATAGTCCAGGTTCGATTATCCTCGAGGGCACGAACCTCATCATGCATGGCCTGTCGCCAGCGCGAGTCCCGCATGGCCTCTTTGAAAGAGGAAGGTTCGACGTTGGCGGTAACTGCTGCAAGAAACTTACGGTGGGCATTAGAAAAAATATTACAATTCACGTATTGTGTAATAGGATACCGCGTACCTGAGGACAAGAACGGTGTGGGTGTAGCAGCGATGGGGGCAGCTTGGGTAGTGTACGTGACAAAGTCCTGAAGACGAGTATTTGGAACTTTCTGCCTATGTCCCCGTCCCAGAACCTCAGTATTCAGTTCGGTAGCCACCTCAGACGCATTATCACCTTGAGAACCAAGAGTGTCAGATTCCTCAGATGCACCTACGGCCCCACTATCTGGTTGGTGCGAAGATTCCTGATTGTCATGCGGTTCCAGTAAGGTATGTGATGCTTGAGACAAAGTTGTGTTATTATTTTCATGAGAACCATCATCATAGTAGGTAGAGGGAGCCCCATTCAAGCATTGCCGCCGATCTGAGTCAGGCACAATAGCATTTGCAAATGGAAATATGGTCTCATAGAAGACCACATCTCGAGAAGAAAAATATTTGCCAGTATCTAAATCAAATAAATTCCAGCCTTTCTTTCCAAACGGATAGCCGATAAATATACATTTGTGGCTTCGACTACTGAACTTATCCGTAGGATTCAATTCCTTAGCATAACACAGGCATCCAAGAATACGAATAGAACTGAGATCCGGAGGACGTCCAAATAATAATTCAAAAGGAGTCTTGCCTTGTAAAATCTGAGACGGAGTTCGGTTTATTAGATAAGTAGCACTTAAAATGCACTCACCCCAAAAATCAATAGGAAGATTAGCCTGAAAACGTAGAGCACGAGCCACATTAAGAATGTGACGGTGCTTACGCTCCACACGTGCATTTTGCTGAGGAGTTTTCACCATAGAAGTTTGATGAATAATGCCTTGTTCAGAAAAATATTTTCGCAAGGCAATAAACTCAGTCCCGTTATCACTTCTCACAATTTTAACAAATTGGCTAAATTGCCGTTTGATTAAGGCAAAAAAATTTATTAATAAGGATGACACTTCACTCTTATGCTTCATCAAATAAACCCAGACACTCCTTGAATGATCATCAACGATAGTAAGAAAATATCTCGAATCACAAGAACGGTTGGCACTATATGGTCCCCAAACATCACAATGTATCAATTCAAACAAATGAGATGCTCTATGACTACTTGACGGAAAAACAGAGCGAGTTTGCTTAGCACGATGACAAACATCACACGGCTTATTAATTAAACTACTATAGCGACCACTAACTTGAGGCAAAAAATCCAAAACTTGTAATGACGGGTGTCCCAAGCGTGCATGCCAAAGTTCGCCAATATCCAAATGTGTAGCATTGTGAATGAGTACTCTCTCCCCCATCGCCAAATAGAAGAGCCCGCCATACTGTTCACCCACACCAATCCTGGTCCTCGAGACTTGGTCCTGTATAACACAATTAGTATGAGTGAATTGAATACTTAATCTATTATCTTTGAGCAAAGTAGATACAGATAAAAGATTGCAGGTGAATTCCGGCACAAACAGAACATTATTTATCGTAAGTTTCTCATTTATCTTAATGCTACCAATTTTAGTAGCCTTGATAAAAGACCCGTCGGGCAGTCCAATTTCCGTGGGCATCATATCGACAAGAACATCAAATAATTTAGAGTTCCCACACACGTGATGTGAAGCACCCGTGTCAACGATCCATAAGTTTTCTGTCTTACCATTGAGGCGGATATCACCAAGTTCTTTGACCACCTCTCCGGTATGAGCAACGTTGGCCTTGGGTTGCTGATTCGTAGAAGAGCTCTGGAATCCTCCTGAACCGCCATTGTTTCCAGGCTGTCCACGTCCCTTGTTCATTCCACGTCTACGTTCCAGCCAGCCTTCGGGGTACCCGTGTTTGACAAAACACTTCTCCTCAGTATGTCCTGTTTTAGAACAAAAGGTGCAAACAATAGAGTTATTAGAGACCCGAGCAGCCCCCCCTGAATTCCGGCCGGTAAAAGTATTTCCCCGGACGGCGAAGCTCATGGGATTTGTTCCT